GAGACGTGCATTTCTTCTGTCGGATATACAGTCTGATGATGATCCAGAAAATTCTGAGGAATCCTGTAATGAGGATGAAAACGCTGAAAATGATATTTGTCGTGACATTGCTCTTTGGGCAGTACATGATGGTATTACTCATGCTTCTTTGGAACGTTTATTACAACTCTTGAGAAAATCGAATAGATATCCACAATTACCGGCAAAAGCCAATGCATTATTGGGGAATCCTACAAATGGTCTTATTAGATCTGTTGAACCAGGTTATTATTGGCACAACGATTTGAAAACATGCTTAGAAAAATTATCTGAAGAAATTTGCTCGGATGAAACTTTGAAAACTCTACTTTTGTCTATCAATATTGACGGAATACCATTATTCAAATCATCTGGTAGTTCTCTGTATACTATTTTGGGTTCATTTCCTTGTTCACAAATATTTTTAATCGGATGTTACCATGGGCATAAAAAACCTCAAGATTTTAACGATTTCTTAAAAGACTTTGTGGATGAAACAATAGATTTAATTACAACCGGCTATAATTGCCGAGGAAAGACATATAATATTAAGATTCATAAGTTAATTTGTGACGCTCCAGCGAAAGTAGCTGTCATAAATATCATGTCGCATACTGGTTACTACAATTGCACAAAGTGTATTGTAAAAGGAGCTAACAAGCTGAATCGTATTTTTTTAGCTTACTGGGAAGCCTTGTATACCTAAGGAGTTTTGCAGAAAACTTCCTTGGAATATATTAAATTCTGGAAAGCGACAGAATTCAGGCAATTTTTATTATATACTGGACCTTTTGTTTTGGCTGATATTTTGCCTGAAAAGCAACACATAAACTTTTGTAGTTTTATAAGTGAGTACAATTTTGCTGACATTATATTTAGTATTTTATTTTATCAGTTTTTTATTTTTACGTAAAACTTTGATATTTTCATATTACAGGTGAAAAAGAACACAACGGCCAATTTAATGAAGAAAAAGACATACGTTTTCGAATATCCGGAAGATTACGAAAAGAGACTTCTCGCAATGGGATTTCAAGGTACTCGTGACAAGTTGAAAGAATTTCCGGGAGAGTGGGAGAAAAGGGCTCCCATGTGATTTCAAGGGATGAGAGGCAAGAAATCATTGTTCAACGAGATAGAAGAACTTGAGAAACGAACTATCATGGGTTTTCAGGTTATTTGCTCAATTGTGAAGTTATATATCTACTATACATTTCAAGGAAAAAGCGAAAATATACATAAAATAGTATATAATTTTGTCATAATTATTACAAAAAGAAATGAATAATATATATTTTGTTTTTAGGATGATGGCGGACGTGCGCCGGACTCGGATGGCGAGCGAGCGCTTAACGCCGATGGCGGCTGGGCGCCGGATGACGCTGGCGACTTGGTGCCGGATGATGGCGTTAATACTACGAATCGTAGATACAATTAATAGTGCAAGTATATACTCAGAATGTGTATACAATGAACAAAGATAAATATATATATATACATAGAACAGAATTAGATAAAGATCTATATGGTCCTGACAATCATTTAGTCGCTAAAGCGAGATAGCAATCATGATTTCGGAACTACATAACAAACTCCATTCAGTTGCATTGTATTCTGCTTGTCAAAGTTACCCGAAATTATAAAAAATAAACATTTTTTTTCTTTGAAATATTCCGACTGACGTAACTCTCGCGCGCGATATACTCTGTTGCTCGCTCGATGATACAATCTGTCGAGACGGCGTCCCTTCCCTCGAGATCTAGGGTGCGTTCCGTTTCACGCATTGAGCGCATAGATCGCCTGGAAATCTATAGTTCACGTAACATATATTATAGATTTCCAGGCGATCTATGCGCTCAATGCGTGAAACGGAACGCACCCTAGATCTCGAGGGAAGGGACGCCGTCTCGACAGATTGTATCATCGAGCGAGCAACAGAGTATATCGCGCGCGAGAGTTACGTCAGTCGGAATATTTCAAAGAAAAAAAATGTTTATTTTTTATAATTTCGGGTAACTTTGACAAGCAGAATACAATGCAACTGAATGGAGTTTGTTATGTAGTTCCGAAATCATGATTGTAAGAAATTGACCAATCACAATTAAGTATGAGGAGAATACTCAACTGTGATTAGTCGATTTCTTAAGGCTTAGGGCTTAAATCACTTATTGTAGACCGGCACTAAGCATGAGTCTGCCGAGATCTGTGACGTGAGCAGTGACGTCATTTACGCATGCGCAGAAGGTTCTGCCCGCGCGATATTTCCCACAAGCTTTCATCACTGACGGTACGTTCGGAAACAGCACCCGAGCATCGTTCTACCTTTGTTCAACTTTTAGTAAATAACAAAAATAGAACGACACTCGTGTGCACACGGGTGATGTTTCGGAACGCAGCCTGAGAATGTCGAGAATTCGCGAACTGTCAAATTATGGCGACAAATCTCTCCGCGAGATGACATAAATCGCTCGCCACAGCGAGCGTTGATAAGACACGATAATGCCCAAGAGTTTCACGTACAAGGCAAACATAATGCTTGCGAGTTTATGGGAAACGTATACATTTTGCATGAATCTTTCTCCTGCTTTCTCCGACGAAGAAGCTCCGCTAAATAAAAAATTTGTCGTGTGCACATGTAAATTTTAAAACACGAAGGAGGAAGAAATGATGCGAAAGCGATTACCAGAACAGTTTAAGCGATTCTCACACAAAATGCTCCTTGTATCTTGCAATAATTGCATGTTGGGATATTCATTCACAAATTTGTGTTATTAATCAACAATTGCAAGGGTATAATTTAAGGGTTGGACCAGAGAGAAGCATGCTTCTCTCTGATATTATATCCCGGATATGTGTGTTCGATATTGCACCGATATTAGTGAACGATACAATTTTCGAAAGTTAAATTCTAATCTGTTTTAAGAAATTTAATGAGAGTGTTTTTTGATTAAGATTACGTATCGTTTATTAAATTATAAATCAATATTATACAATTTCATAGTCTTCAAACTAATAATTCAATTCAATTCATGAGATGCGGACATAAATGTTAAGTTTAATAATCTCATTAAACCATTTTGATAACCCACCATAAGCCACAAATAACTCCACGCATTTGGATTCCAAGCCACCTAAAAATTATATTTTGTTTTTTTATCAGTGATTTATTTTTAATTATGTTCATCTTTTTTTTTCAATATTATAGAAAACGACTGAAATTTATGATTTTTAAAATATATAATTAGCTTGATAAATATTTTACACTTTTAATTATTTATTCTATAACAAAAAGTAGGAAAGAATTACTGTCAATGTACCCTGTTTGCAGAAGTAAATGGATATTGTTCAATAGGGATGGACGTCAACATGTTATTATACAGAGTATGATCCTGTTTATCCCTAGTTATTTTTTCCTTCAGACCCTGTATGATTAATAAAATAACAAAGAAAATTGGTTAATATTATTAACATAGTCCAGATTATGTGTATATAGATTTTATAAATACTCACTGTTAATTTATCATGGAAAATGATGCCAAAGCGATCTTTACATTCATTATAGGTTTCTGGCATATAACGATAATCCTTAGAATTCTTTTTGTCATTTTTATTTCCATTGTTGACCGTGTTTTGACTCTTTTCTAAGAAATCTACTGTTTTAATGAAAGAGTTTAACTAAAACAAAATTAAAATATATAAATTTATAATTAAAAGAATTACATATACAACGAGATATAACTGCCTACCTGTCTTTTCTTAGACAATATTCTTTCTGCATACAATAATTGATGGGGAAATATGGTTATTACTTCTCCTGCTAAAGTACCATGTGCGACACTATTAGCATGATCAGAAACAGCGATGCTCTAAAAATTGAATGTATTATTCAGAAGGTTTTAAAATGATCCCTTACATCTGAAAAACAGATAGCAATAATAATAGATGGTTCTTACATAAGTCGGTGAATTAGTTGGTAAAATCGGGCAGAATTTATATCCATAGTCTCTCAATGGTATTATACAAGAATGCGCATATTGGTACCTGTAAGAATAATTGCATTAGAAATGATTATTATTATATATGATAATTAATAGTATATTATTATTATTAATTATTAATATAAAGTAACAAATTTACCCAAGCGCATCATCGAAGCTCATAACCGAACACGGCCAGTGCATCATCCACGCGCCGTCGAGTATTATACTCTTTTTCGCACAGTGTCGTGGTGCGCTTGTATCTTCCAAGTCCCAAAACTTATACGTTCTATCTGTACTGCCCGAAGCCAAAAATCGGCTTTTGCCATATGGAACTAATGCTACCACTATGCAAAGTAAGAAAAAAAAATAATATAATAAATTTACATGTTTCTATTTTCTTACTTACAGAGATGAAGTAATTTATACTTACTGCTAACTGCATTATGATGAGCGAAGAAATGCTGGAATGCATTTATAAGTTTTGTATTTTTTCGTACATTGACTAACGTAGGACAAGCAGTCGTGAGATCCCATAATGCGATATAACCATTGGTGAAACCTGCCGCGATGATACTAAAAAAACATTTACGTTCGCGTTTTTTTATAGATGTACAATACGCAAATCTTAAAAAGAATAATTTAAATCGAAAACGTGTTACTTATGTCCATGTTCCTTCGTCCATGATAGTTTAATGCATTGCCAATTCTGTTTGTTACTATCATATAATAAATGATTTACGACTAGTGTTATTACCGGGTCGGTCTTGTAGATCGGCAACCTTTGTGTAAATCACAATAAAAATATCATAAATAACAGAAAGCTTGACAGCAATACGAAATTATAATATGAAATCGTAATATAACTCACGAATTGTTTTCTGTTTTTTCGAATTTAAGTTCATCGGGAAATGGTAATGAATAAATATTTACGCATCCATCTGAGCATGCAGCCGCAAGCAATCCCATTCGTCTAAGCTTATTTTCTTCCGCTTTATAATTGCCAAGATCAATATCTTGATAGCATCCTGATGGACACCATTCCAAGCACCAAATTGTACCATTATTATGTGCAATTGCATAAGCTAAAACGGGTAATTTATTTCTACTATCGACGCTGAAAAAAAAAGAGAATATATAAAATACGATTTCAATTACAAATCGTTTAAAAATGTATATAATTATATGTAAAAAATATTAAATAATAGTATCAATTGAATCCTCTCTCACATTAATTCATTGTACGCATATGGTATTTTTAGACTTACTCATGATTTAAATTTCCAACATTCCATATTTGTATGATATTTGGTCCGGAATATTTATTTCCTACAGTGTACTCGTTTTCCATAGTAGGGTGTGTGCTGATTGCAACATATTGTGTCGGGTTTTTGGTGTACATTGGTGATGGAATAGGTAACCATGCTAACGCCCATACAGGGCCACCGACAAAAAATGTTGGCACAGCTAAAGCAACATTATGGTTTGATTTTAATGTGTGTGTGTGTGTATGTGTATCAATCTCTTACTAAATATTTTAATAAACTAAATAAATAATTTGTATGCAGCAGTCTCAGAACATACCTTCATAAATATCACTCTCAAATCTATTTAGACGCTTCCACTTGTCATCATTGTTAGAATTTTCTACATTTTTTGGCGAATCAAGCTTCACATTTTTGATGGCCATTGAAATTGTTAGTTCTGGAAGATACTTTGCGGCATTGTTATTTTCCAATAATGTAAAAGCATTTGGCATATTGTCTTCGAATAACATAAGTTCATAATTTTTCAGTTCACTGTTGCAAGTAACAAGAAAAGTAAATAAAAGGTCTTTACAATAAAATTGTTAGTTTTGTTAATGTTAAATTATGAATTGAAAAGTAGATTATATGAAATACTTAATTAAAAATCAAACTTAAATTTTAATATTTGATGTATATAATCTAGTTATGTGAGTACTTACAATTCTAGAGTCCAACGTATAGTTGACTTGTAGGGTTTAGTTGATTGTGGTTTTTGCATTATTTCTTTATCTAAGAAAGCCATTTTATTGTATATTCCTAAAATTTCGTAAATAATATATTATTCAAAATACTTTGATTAATAATCATCTATTAATTTTATAGCAAATCGAATGTAGTAGTGAAGGATCGTCTTTGGAATGCACTAATACATTCAATTGAAATCACTATTTAGATGATATGATTTGTTTGTTCAACTTACTTGTGCCATCAGAGCTTATCTGTGTTTGTTTCGTCGAACGGTTTTTTTGTTTTACATCCCATTCAATTATATTTTCTTCTGATGAATCCTCATCTTCCTTATCTTTTTCGAAATCAGAATGCTTGTCTAAATCCTCATTGCTCGAATGAGCTTCTGTTATATGATCTATGATTTTGTCTTTAGAATCTGCAGAAAACTTGCAAATCTTACATATAAAATTCTGGAAAAGAAAAAAACAGCTCTTATTTATATGCCTAATCGTTTTTAAATATCGCAAAAATTGTAAAATACGATATACCTCCTGTGGAGTAAAGTTACATTGAGAATAATGTTCGCAAATGCTTTCATAAGAGGAGCATGTGTAAGTACATCCTAATTGTTTACAAGATGTGGTACCTTGTGAAGCTATTTCCTTCCTCCATATACCTTTCCAAACGGCTGGTATTTTTTTTTTAAGTTCTGGCATTTGTATTACATTTTTCTAAATTGATAATTGTATGCATACATATAGCTCTATTTTTATCAGTATTATTTAATTCCTTGACCAATTTGAGGTTTTAATTTTCTCTTACACAGAGAAAAATTATCATTGATTTACATCTTTTCAATTGTATGCATTATATATATTTTTATAATTAACAATAAGTCTCATAAGTTAAGATTCTGTTAGTCTATTTAAATTAATGAAACAATATGATTTTATTATTCATTTCTCCTGTGAAATCTGATTTGTTGGAATCCTGGTTACTTTCTTAATTTTCTTAATTTTTTAATTATATATACCCCAAAATTGATCTGCCTTAAATTAGTCAAAGAATTTATCACTCTAACATGTATATTATATATACTTATATAAGAGTATATACATAATGAATTAAACTTTAACGTACAAATGCAGAAGAATCAAGTTTTATTATCTTTGCTGAATCTTGCTCTTTCATAGACTCAATTATTCTTGGTACTGCTCTGTAATTAGAGAACATTGTATTATATACACAAATATAATTAATAGGAAATTTTCATTAAGGATATTTTATCTACTTCTCTGCTGCTTTCCGTTTTGTCCGTTCTATTAGTATAACTGATGTTTCTTCATCTTTATTTTGTTCTAATTGCCTATGATAACGTTCATGCATTTCCATAGAAGAAGGCATCATAACAGATTTACAAATGGGGCATGTCATCATTAACGCTTGCCTTTCCTTTAACAAAAAGATAAGGAAATATAAAGTATGATAAAGTACATTATGTATATATATAATATATATTATATCGCTTATACTTACTTCTTCTGATTTTCCACAAAACTGCATATGTGATATAAAACCGTTGACACTTCGTTTTATATCTTTACATTTTTCACAAGTTAAATATTTCTTTTTTTGTTTAAGAGCACTAGCTAATACTTTCTTTAATAATTTAATGTCATTTTCGAAGTCCTATGGATAAACTCAATTTTCATATAATATTTCATTAGCATTATAGAAAGTTTTATAATACAATTAAAAATATTATTACCAATGGTTCCTCATTTTCTTGCCAAGCCATATTATTATGTTGATGCAAGTTATGTAAAGACCATTGTCTTTTTGGTACTTGTTGATTACATTTAGCGCAAGTTATTAATTGTACCTGTAAATATAAAGATTTCAATTGAGTTATATACAGAGTGAATCACTAAAGATGTTAGAGGCTAATATTTCTGAAACTAATGCCCGCTTCAATACCAAACAGTCGCTGGAAAATAAGAATGTCATATCTCGTTTAGTTTCAGAGATATTAGCCTGTAATATCCTTAGTGATTCACCCTGTATGTTACATAATCAATAACGCAAATTTTTCTAAAATATATTACAACTTACATTCTTCTCAATATTTGGAGAATCCGTACCATTTTCAATATTTGCAACGCTGTCTACTGTTGTATTCATCTCATCTGAGTCTAAAAAAGAATTGTACGTTATTCCCCTACCGCGACCCCGACCACGTCCTCGACCTCGACCTCGACCTCGTCCTCGTCCTCGTCCTCGTCCTCTACTACCAACTGGACGACCGCGCTTTTTGACAAGAGATTTATCTTCCACATTATTAGTATCGCTTTCATCGCTTAAATCGCTTACATTGATAGTATCCCTAATTTTACTAGTATGTCTTCTACTGTGTATCATGTATGTGGGTTCCGTAATGATATCGGAAATATCTTGTACAATATTGTCATTTTCTGATGTCTTTGGTGTATTCTGGTCTATGGAATTATCGTTCGTTTTTCTAGGTCTACCCCTTTTTCTTTTGATATTTGGTACTACAGATACAGATGACTGGTTTTGTTCATCATGCTTCACAGTCATTTCACTTGTTTTACGTTCATTTTGACACACTGCATCAGGTATATTCTGTAACTCAATATTTTTATTTATTGCTTCAGATATTGATTTCTGCAAATTTGTCTCATCATGGGATGTTTGAGATGGAATTTGTTCCCTAATTATAAGCTCATTTTGTTTTTGTTCATATATTGTACATTTTTCTTTTGATTTCACTGGATTACTATCTGCATAAACTAAATTTTCTGTTTTGATCATCTTTTTGTGGAAAAAAGAGAATAAAGCTTAAAAAAATAATAAAAATACCATTAGCTGCATTAATACAGATTTTTATATTATTCTTGGATGTGTATGTATGTCATCTGTTTTACGCATAGTTGAACATTTATTTTTATACGACATATCAGATCTAACATTTTTCTTACTCATATTTACAAAATCTTTTTTTACAGGATATAAAAGAAAATTAATAAGCCAATTGTCACTTATAAGAATTTAACTTCTATTATGATGCACTTTATTAGCTAGAAGAAAATAAATTTAATATTTCATTTGTACAATACAATTAATTATATTTTAACATTTAATATATTTTTAAATTATTTTATAGTATTCTGATAATGTGAGAAAAATATAGAAGAATTCTATCAAGAGAAAAAGAGATTGCGGGGATTTGAACATGGAACATTTAATATTAAAATCGAACTTCTTATTTCCAACTCCAAAAGTACATCGTGTTTTACTCATTCAACTATAAGGATATATCAGTATTTTAATGCATATCCACAAATTAAAAAAAAAATTGTATATATATATAATTCCTGTAACTTAATAATTGTTGTTAAATAATAGGATTTTGCAATTCTCGATGAAATGTGAACAGGTTAGATATGTCATATGTGATTATATGTTATCTCTACTTTGATTTACTTTAATTAATATTAATTTTTATATTATTTTATATTATTTACTTTTACATACACACATACACATATTTTGCTTATTATATTATAATTTATTATGATAAAAATATTTTACCTCTGGACCACGCGCACATTCATAGATCTGCTTATGCATTTTAAGCTATGTACACAAGCAGTGCGTATTTTCCTAAAAAGCGAGATTTTGATTGGCTATCGCATCGCTTCATGGCGTGAAAGTTTCAAAGCATTTGATTGACCAATTAGAGCAAAGAATTCTTCGTTCCTTTCGTCCTGATATTTCAATCAAATGATTAAAAACTTTTGTAGTAAAATGGAATGCATCCCACAATCTCACGATGCAAGAGATATATTATTATTTGTACGAGACGTGGATACAAAAACGAATGACGTGTCTCATAGTCAATTAAACTACACACGCTTCTTCTGAAATTGATACATAATTTCCACCGCGCATAAAATATTGAACTCTTTAATATCACAAATATTTAATATTTAATTTTAATAGAAATAATATTGATTTTCTGACAGATACTTAATTTTTTTTTTTTTTTAGACTTGCATCTCTATACGTATACAGAATTTGTGACATTGACTTTCATTAATTAAAATGCATATGTTCATAATACATGACAGAAACATTATTATTAATTAGGGCAGAACATAAAAAATATAATTTCAATTGTAGAACTTTATTTACGAAGATTTTTATAAATTTATACCATTCTTCTGAGAAGTTCATTAATTTTATCTTCTCGATTTCCAAAGTCACCACCTTCTACATAATGGTTGGTTTTCTTACGCCATCCGCCATTTGGTGTATTGAGCTAGAAACAATAAGAGAAATGATTTTTAGATATAATATATTAATATAATATAATATATTAATAAAAACTTCTACATATTTCTTACGCCATCCGCCATTTGGTGTATTGAGCTAGAAACAATAAGAGAAATGATTTTTAGATATAATATATTAATATAATTAATATAATTAATAAAAATGTTTGAGTTCATCTTAGATTGTGATATTGAAATAACATTCATCAGCAAGAAGAACTCTTATTACTTTTCGACATAATAGGAGGTTAATAGAATAAATTATTCTACAATCATGCCTATGTCGTAATGTAAGATATTTGTGTACTTGATAAATCGTATTTTTTAATATTTTGAAGCACATACCTTAAACGGCCACAGAAAATTGCTGGCAAATTTAAATTTCGGGCCAACAGTGAATATCTCATGAATCAAATCTTCGGTACAAATGATATGAGACCGACCTAAGTAAAAACAAAAAAGAAAACAAGAATTAATTTTTCTGATTATTAATATGTGATAACACAATTTTATATAATAAAAAGAAAAAATAAATAAATTATAATAAAGTTTTGTACAAATTTCTGTCAAATCTGACCATAAAAATCATGGTCTAATTTTTCCAAAAATTGCTTTATTAATTTTTGACAAGTTGGAAGGGAGAATGTTTATATTCTCAAGACTCCCATGGATTTGTCAAAAAATTACTTGTGCAAAATAGAGTATGCATGTTAATTATGCTTTAATATTTTACTGATATTTATCATTCATTTGCATACATAGTATATTATGTGGAAAATGATTTACTCACCAAGCTTCTTCTCAATGAGGGCATTGCTAGTTATTGGTATACGTTGCCTATTTATCTTGGCAAACCCACGTTTGTAGATCAACTCACGAACTGATTTCAAATTAGGATATCCCCATGTAATATAAGGCTCGACAATACGTAACATGTTAATGGTTGCTTTGTTCAATTTAACAAAGACACCATTGTTGATCTGTTTTAGACGGAACAGCTGTAATACCTTCCGTACTTTTGGAGCAACTTGATTCACACTAAAAGAATTGAAATTATATTGTAATTGTTAGATAAAGAAACTTTGGGACTTTGAAAGAAAGAGAGGTCTTTAATGTTAGCAATTATATATTAATACTTACCCTCGAATACGAATAACAAATGCAAGACGTGCTTCGCCAGGAATATAATAATTTCCGCGATTTTTAGCTTGTCTAATCAATCTGATTTCATCTCTTTCCTTCCTTCTGTATTCTTTTACATATTTCTCAGCTCTTTTAAATATTACTTTTCTTTTCTTGTAGCGGTCAGCACGTTGCTATAGAACAAGCAAATACAAAATAGAAGCTTGTCTTTTCATATGCATTTTATATGAGAAAAGTAATTTTTATAAATATACAAATGACTTGTAATAATTACCTTGATCGATATTTGTAGACGTGCAGCTTTAACTGCCTCACGGCGTTTCCTTTTCTTTAACACAGATTCCGGCACTGCCGGTAGTTTTTTGGTTGGAACATCGGTTTCCTTTTTTCTGCATGAAAAAATATGATCATGTTTAGGACATCTTTGCTATTGGTTTAAATATACATATGTTTGATAGACTAGATAAATTTTTATTAAAAATAAGTTATGTTGTGAAATAGAGAGAGAGAAACTGTAAAGCAAATTTTAGCATAAACATTTTCTAATTTTCGTTCATTGTACAAATATCCATGGTAGATAATGGAATAGATAAGATCAATTCGTAATGAATGAAAAACCAAACGCGTCTTCGTTTGTAATAATAATATAATATCGTATTCAGGAGACGATTTCATTTGGAGACGACAATGTAACCCTAAATTTCAAGTCTACAATCTTTTTGTTTGCTCTTTTAACGTTATAATATATTAATAAAAATGTTTGAGTTCATCTTAGATTGTGATATTGAAATAACATTCATCAGCAAGAAGAACTCTTATTACTTTTCGACATAATAGGAGGTTAATAGAATAAATTATTCTACAATCATGCCTATGTCGTAATGTAAGATATTTGTGTACTTGATAAATCGTATTTTTTAATATTTTGAAGCACATACCTTAAACGGCCACAGAAAATTGCTGGCAAATTTAAATTTCGGGCCAACAGTGAATATCTCATGAATCAAATCTTCGGTACAAATGATATGAGACCGACCTAAGTAAAAACAAAAAAGAAAACAAGAATTAATTTTTCTGATTATTAATATGTGATAACACAATTTTATATAATAAAAAGAAAAAATAAATAAATTATAATAAAGTTTTGTACAAATTTCTGTCAAATCTGACCATAAAAATCATGGTCTAATTTTTCCAAAAATTGCTTTATTAATTTTTGACAAGTTGGAAGGGAGAATGTTTATATTCTCAAGACTCCCATGGATTTGTCAAAAAATTACTTGTGCAAAATAGAGTATGCATGTTAATTATGCTTTAATATTTTACTGATATTTATCATTCATTTGCATACATAGTATATTATGTGGAAAATGATTTACTCACCAAGCTTCTTCTCAATGAGGGCATTGCTAGTTATTGGTATACGTTGCCTATTTATCTTGGCAAACCCACGTTTGTAGATCAACTCACGAACTGATTTCAAATTAGGATATCCCCATGTAATATAAGGCTCGACAATACGTAACATGTTAATGGTTGCTTTGTTCAATTTAACAAAGACACCATTGTTGATCTGTTTTAGACGGAACAGCTGTAATACCTTCCGTACTTTTGGAGCAACTTGATTCACACTAAAAGAATTGAAATTATATTGTAATTGTTAGATAAAGAAACTTTGGGACTTTGAAAGAAAGAGAGGTCTTTAATGTTAGCAATTATATATTAATACTTACCCTCGAATACGAATAACAAATGCAAGACGTGCTTCGCCAGGAATATAATAATTTCCGCGATTTTTAGCTTGTCTAATCAATCTGATTTCATCTCTTTCCTTCCTTCTGTATTCTTTTACATATTTCTCAGCTCTTTTAAATATTACTTTTCTTTTCTTGTAGCGGTCAGCACGTTGCTATAGAACAAGCAAATACAAAATAGAAGCTTGTCTTTTCATATGCATTTTATATGAGAAAAGTAATTTTTATAAATATACAAATGACTTGTAATAATTACCTTGATCGATATTTGTAGACGTGCAGCTTTAACTGCCTCACGGCGTTTCCTTTTCTTTAACACAGATTCCGGCACTGCCGGTAGTTTTTTGGTTGGAACATCGGTTTCCTTTTTTCTGCATGAAAAAATATGATCATGTTTAGGACATCTTTGCTATTGGTTTAAATATACATATGTTTGATAGACTAGATAAATTTTTATTAAAAATAAGTTATGTTGTGAAATAGAGAGAGAGAAACTGTAAAGCAAATTTTAGCATAAACATTTTCTAATTTTCGTTCATTGTACAAATATCCATGGTAGATAATGGAATAGATAAGATCAATTCGTAATGAATGAAAAACCAAACGCGTCTTCGTTTGTAATAATAATATAATATCGTATTCAGGAGACGATTTCATTTGGAGACGACAATGTAACCCTAAATTTCAAGTCTACAATCTTTTTGTTTGCTCTTTTAACGTAAAAATATAGATCCATTAATATACATGCGTAACAACAAATTGTTAATATGATGTTCGCGGAATTATAAAGTCATATCATCGGCTGATGCGGCCAGATTTCATGAGCTATCAAGGTTACTTACGCGTCAGCCATCATTCCACGCGGTAAAGGACTTTTCAGTCTCTGTTTACCTCGAGTCAAAGAAACCGGAACTGAGGTGCGCATACGTGATCACCCACAGCCAGGGTAAGAATTATAAAAGTAAATAGATTCACTAGCCTGTTGACCAATGAGATCGTAGTTCTATTGCGCAGTGTTTCTAGTGATTTATTAGTTTGCATTAATTCGGAAAGAGGGCATCATGCTTTACATTAATCGGTCTTCTAGAGATTCGAGTCAAGCCGTGGTACTGCGTCCGTTAGAATGAAAATTTAGAGGGGAGAAGATTCGAGTTAATTATCGCACGCCTATATTTGTAAAATTTATTCCGCTTTAGGACTTATGACATGTGACTCTCTGTAAGTAAATAATAATAAGGAAAGTTGGTCTATCTTATTTCTAGCATCAGCATTATATTGAATTTTAAAAGTTTCTATTTTGGCTATCAGAATTTTGGCCGAAGAATTGTAATAATGAAACAATGCACGTAAAGCAATAATTGTAAAAATTGAATTTAATTTCTTTCGATAAATAGACTTTGCTTGAAAATCAAGGAAAAGGCAGACATATTATATTTTACAAGAGCGATTTTTTCTCATAAAGTTAACTTTCTCGACAAAGTTATTGTCAACATATAACATTTGAAATCTAATAAAAGCACGCGAAAGTGCTTGTTAAACTTCCTATTATATGACATATATACTGCAAATGATAATATATCGGACGTATATTTATTTTTGTTGTTCAAGGTATGCGGGCAATGTATGGAAATTAACTACAGGAGCAAAGTGTGACGTCATCGCGCGAAGTTGGTCGCGCGACTTTCGAATTATCTTTGCCACTCGTTACATGAATTTCGCGGATGTCGAGCGGATCGTCGTTTCGCGCGATCGATTTTACGTTGTTCTTCCATCGTAACATTATAAAATGCGCATCGTGTGCGGGAATATCGTGAAAAGTGTCACGCAATCATCGTAATTAAATACTTTTTTCGCGTGCAATCGTGTGATCTGAAAACTGGAGAAGCAGTAGCAGAGAAGCAGCACCGAACAAGAGAGAGGAAAGAGGCTAAAGAGGTATCACACGCAGTAATTTATGTGAGTAATTTACAACTCTTTTTCTCTCTTATTTGATTTATTAATTGTTAAAATATATTGTACGATGGGAGATACATTCACCCCGTGTTCTCCCTTTATATTAAATAACAAGTCGAATAATATGTGGTTTATTATTTCTTTAACATTTCCGAGTATATCTCGAAAATGGAATTGCGCTTTTAAAGAGATATATCATTTTTATACATGCTTTCTTGAAATACTCCCATATACAAACCCACATCGCAGAATCAGAAAAATAACGAAAAGAATTTTAATACATAACATGTATATGTAACATTACACATTATCTATCTATAATCCTGACAAAAAAAGATCTAAATAAGAGAAAAATTGCTTTTTCATAAATGCGCATCGTGTGCGGGAATATCGTGAAAAGTGTCACGCAATCATCGTAATTAAATACTTTTTTTGCGTGTGATCTGAAAACTGGAGAAGCAGTAGCAGAGAAGCAGCACCGAACAAGAGAGAGGAAAGAGGCTAAAGAGGTATCACACGCAGTAATTTATGTGAGTAATTTACAACTCTTTTTCTCTCTTATTTGATTTATTAATTGTTAAAATATATTGTACGATGGGAGATACATTCACCCCGTGTTCTCCCTTTATATTAAATAACAAGTCGAATAATATGTGGTTTATTATTTCTTTAACATTTCCGAGTATATCTCGAAAATGGAATTGCGCTTTTAAAGAGATATATCATTTTTATACATGCTTTCTTGAAATACTCCCATATACAAACCCACATCGCAGAATCAGAAAAATAACGAAAAGAATTTTAATACATAACATGTATATGTAACATTACACATTATCTATCTATAATCCTGACAAAAAAAGATCTAAATAAGAGAAAAATTGCTTTTTCATATAATACATCATTATTCACGTTTACATTATAATCCTATTTACACTTGGCAGATGAAAATGGCATTTTAACGGTTTGAAGTTGGTCCAAGGGTGCATTTTTTTTATTCATTATAGTAACGATGACGTCATTAGTCCCCTTCGTTAGATGAGTGTATAAAAATAAGCTTTTCTTTGTCATGTCATTAATTATATCGCTCTCGTTAAAAATTAACGATAATTCATCATTGCGAAGAGTCATATTGACAAAAGCTATACCGTATATAAACTAAAGGAGTGAACAATCGCAGACCGCTGTCATATCTACCAGTCATTACTAAGTACTAACAACAATAATAATAGTAATTACATAATAATTATATAATAATAAGAATAATAATAATAAAGTTATAATTATGCTTATAATTACAATGCTAATAATAGCAGTAATAAAAGTATTAATAATCATTATCAATAATAGATATCAATAATTTTTTTAGACGGGTAATAGTAATAATAATAAGAATAATATTAATGAGATAATTATGATAAATAACGGTAATCTTACTCTATATATAATGATACTAACAATATTGGCAGAAATTAAAGGTACTTCTTATTGAAAAAAAAAAAAGAACAGATCGCAGTGGTGGTATTGAATCGTTATTTTGACATATTGCGGAATTTTTCTGTATGTTTCAAAAACCTAGGGTTAGCGTTAAATGATACTGCACTAAATAGGGGCCAAAAGTATTCGCGCAAATAAACATTCTTAATATTATTTATCATATCTTTATATATATATAAATTAAAATTGCTTTTTGTGTATTCTCTAGGACAAAGAATGTAATAATATAGATGTCAATTTAAAAAAAAAAAAAAAAATTATCTCTTTCGGTTCATCTCGTAAACACTCGCATTTTATAGTTCGAGAGACGAAAATTTGTCAAACTCGCGCTACATATATACGCGTGATTTATCTTTTGATCCTTACATTCAAAGTAATCGTGACAAGGTTCATTAAACGCATTCTCTCCCTCTCTTTCACGCAATAGTTTCATTTAACATTTTGACAGCGGTCCGGCAGGGCCTGCAAGGCAGATCGCTTCGTCATTTTCATTCCAGCGCGGTCATCGTTACCGTCGTTCTTATCGCCTTGAGCGCCATGTATAAATCGTTCGTTCCGGACGAACCTATCCACGCATAATCATACGGGAATCAAAGTATCGAAAGTACCGAGCAGCGCACAAGCGCGAATAGTTCACGAGTCCTGTCTTTTATTTTGTCGTCACTTCCGTATCGAGCGCGTGTTTCACGCTTGCTTAGGATGCGCGACAGGCGCGGACGGTTCCGAGCGGAAACACGACAGGAGGAAACCGGTGTACATGAGAAAGAGCATGGTGATGGCGATCAGCATGTACATGTAGATGTTCAATTCCGGCTGTCGATATCTGTTCTTGCGTAGCCACTCGAGAACATCCTGTTCATTGTGCAGATTACCTAGGGAGAAAGAATTGACCGGAACATAACTGACATTAAGATATTTCCGTTGTAATCAAAGATATTTTTTACAATATCTCTTACCTCTGTAGATACTAGGGAATCGTTTGCGAAAATGGACGATGGCAGGCAGCTTGGTAACTCCCCATTTCCTAGCGTATTTAGGATCTGCCATTTTAACGAATGTAATGTCCAGATTGTCAGTCTCGCCGTCGATCTCTTCCAACTTCTTGTTCACATCCTCGCTTTCTTGACTATCGTTTTCATCTGGGAATGATGGACGTAATGATAGACAATATGATCGTCAAATCCAATGACGTTGCACATATAATGCGCAACGTCATTGTATTTTTTGTAATTTTCTGTTTACTTACAAAAGAAGACCGCAAGGAACTCGTTCTCATCCAACAGTTTATCTAGCATTTTTTTGTTAACCTCCTCGATCTCATTTTTTATCTCAAACACATCTTGAGAAGTGAGCCACTGCAGAATCTTATCTTCTTGCATAAGATCACCGTCGTATATAAGTGGTATTTTCTTTCGGAAATACACGAGAGATGGAACATTGAGAATGCCATATTTTTCGGCAGCATCCGAGCTAGAGATCTTAACGAAATCGATGCCGAAAAGATCAGCTTCGCCGTCGATTTTCTCCAACGCTTCCATGATTTCGTCACATTCTGGGCAATCTTCATCATCTGGATAATAAATAAAATAAAATACAGATATTTATTGTAATATACAGAGTGTCTCTTATAAAATTCTTTTTATGAATAAAAAGATACGTAGTTCAAAGAATGCACTTATTGTTAGTGAAGAATAAAGAGTTCGATGTCACAAGATCGATAACGAGATCGATAACTTACAAAAGAAAACGGCTAAGAAGGGAGATTCATCGAGAAGTCTTTCTAGCATTCTGTCATTGACGGATTCTATTTCATCGGCCAGTTCTCGATTGTCATCGTCGATCAGCCACTCGAGGACTGATTCTTCGTTTTGCAGGTCTCCTAACACATGTAACATTTCGAAATTTCATCTATATTCTTATTTATTATAAGATAAGAATATTAAAATATAAGTAATAGGTGATCGAACCTTCGAAGAGTAGAGGATTGCCATTTCGGAAATAGACGAGCGCCGGAAATGTCTTGATCGAATATCGTTTCGCCAGCTGCGGGTCTTGAATTTTTACCATATGAATACCAAATACGTCGCACTCGTCGTCTACTTTTTCCAAACCCTCCAAAATTTCGTCGCATATATGACAATTTTGTTTAGCTATGACGAAGACATTAATGTTATATTTATATAACTATATAATAATAACCAGAACTCTTATTCTTGGAGAAAAATTAATTTAATAATTAACTTACTGAAATAAACCGCTAAGTACTGTGTCTCCTCAACGGATGTTTCTAGCATAATTCTTGTGATCAGCTCGATCCGATCTTCCGTTCTTTGAGTAATCAACCATTGTAATACCTCTTCTTCCACAGAGAGATCACCTATAAATAGATAACCGTTAATAAGATAGATCGTGATTCATTGAGCAAGCTAATCGTTAAAATTACAAACCTTCGAACACATTTGGCATTTGTTTCTCGAAGTAAACTAATACTGGAAAGTCCGTTACCCCGTAATCTTCGGCTACCTTGAAATCCTATAAAAACCGAGAAAGAAGGAGAGAAACTTTTTTTTTTGCATTAGCTTTTGTTTTTGAAATAAACTTTCTATGCAAAATTATTGCATTTTTGTTTATACATTAATGAATCGATCCGTTCATTCAACACAAAATAAATACAAAGTAAGAGAGAAGCCAAGTGAATCATTGATATGTTTATTTTATTTATCTTATTTTACTTACTTGCGTTTTCACGAATGTGATACCGTGTCTGTCGCAATCGTCATCGATATTTTCTAGTTCCTCGAGTATTGCCACGCATTGCGTACAATCGTCGGGATCTGAAGAGAGATTCTATTATTATCGAATCCCCATTAAAAATTTGCGATTTTAAATAATCTACTTCAACAATATAAAGAGGCATTTTTAATGCTAAATACTAAAAGATCACACATCGATATCGTTGATGTGAATATAGTCTACTCGATACGAGGAAGGAATCTGCTAGATACAAGGCAAGTACACGTAACGAAGGATAAGTAGTATTGCAACAACGATCGGATAATCGATCTACGAATTACATGTGTGACGTTTGAACTCTTAGCGATATTAGAGCATCTGTTTCTTTGATAGACTAACAATAAATGAAAAAGAATTTTGCATGCTCATCGGGATCTGTAGGTCACTACTGCCTGGCTGCGTGTTCTGTTCTCATGTTGCATGCTTTGCTCTCGTGCACGTGCACCTGTGTAACTGTGTAATTGTACATAGAGAATACATCAGAGAGAAAGAAAGAGAGGAGTACATTGTTTCTTGGAGAAAGCGTCCTATGAATATGGCCTGGAAAATGATTCTACGTTCAATTCTTTATTAGCTATAAAACAAAAATAATCAAAAGAACACTGATGATTAAAAGCAAACCGTTTCATACATACTGGTATTTTTATTAAACATGAGAAATTTACTTATATGGATATTTTTCTTAATTATCACGACGACTATTTTATATAAAATGTAATAGTATCGAATAGGGAATACAAACAAAATTTCTACGTAATCATCAGTATTCCTTCATAATCTCTTATGAAAAAGCGCATGCACTATGGTGATATGCGTACGAAACTTTTCCAGATTCCGACAAAGTTTGCATATATCGCATATTAATGAATCGCACGCTTGCGAACGGAGAAAAGAAGTTTGCTGGCATAGCATATTTCATAATTTATACTGTTATAATAAATTTTGTCAATTATTATATGAACACAGCAAAAGAAATTAAGAATACCAATTTTATTCGCTAAAAATAGCTATGTAGTATCTAATTATTTTGCTATAATAATAAATTGATTTTTATTCCGTCATCAAAAGAATTTGCAGTTTGAGTGAAGAATACACTTATTAAGAATAAGACAATTTTGCTTTAATAGCAAATTTATGTTTCTACCAGATTTTAAATTCATATTCAATAATTTTTCTATTTTACCAACAAATTTTATAAAACAAATTTTGCTGTACAACATCGAGTAATTAATTAGCAAAATTATGATATGGAATGTAGTAATGATGATTTTGCCGCTACAGCTAATTTCTTTTTCTCCGCCTGTGTTTTGTGGGAGATTTATCTGGGCTGTGATTGAGGTAACTAATCTGTAACATAAACTATAAACCACATAGAGAGGTGGGGAAGGGGGTAGAATAAATAAAGAAAGATAGAAAGAAAGATAGCGAGAAAGTTCTATTGAGCCTATTGTTAGTTTTGCTCTTGCTTTGATCTGTTGTACCATCGATGTCCTCGGCCGCATCTCCATGTTCCGCGGTCTTGTGATCCTGCTTGTGGCGCATCTGCTTGCGGTACGTTTTTGATTGGCACATGTCGCAAAGCGTTCTGTTCCCTACGGCATTAGTACACAATGTGTACGGCATCGGAGCAATAGACGGATGGCGGGAAGTAACGTATAGAATGAAGGAATCGAAAGATCAAACAAGCGGGCTAACAATTGTTAAATATAATTAGCAGTTTCTTCCAGTTGTGTATAATTATATAACGTTAAAAGATTAATTTAATGATATATAAAGATTAGAGGATAGAGAGAGAGAGAGAGAGAGAGAGAGAGAGAGAGAGAGAGAGAGAGAGATATAGAGAGATAAAAAGAGGGAGAATACCTCAAGAAATTAATATTTAATTGTCAGGACGTGATCGATGTCGTGAAGTTGTATAAAGTTCTCAAGAGTCGGGATCGCACTTCAGGTAATTTAATTTTATCGCGGTCTAAAATTTTATCTTTCCGCGTGTCCGTGTCGATTTAACCGTATTAGTAAATTAAACTCCGAACTTCCTTTACGATTCCTTCGCTTTCCATTAATAAGAGTTCTCCATTATCGTGTTCGTCCGGCGTGTTGTTTGACTTGCTTTTATAAGACGATTTTTCATTCATCTCGATCTAAATGAACGCGTTTCTGCGCATATCACATGTTTCATGCGAAAAATTTTAATTTATTATGAGAAACGGCGAAATATCGAACGTGCAAAAACGTTTTGCAAAGAGATAAGGAATGCTTGAGGCACAAACCGCGTGTCCGATTTGTCAAGCCGCTTTTAACAATGGCATTCAAAAATTTAACGCGAACGGCGAAACAAAGTTTGCAATTGGATCACGCGCCTCTCGACTTCCATTAATGGACTTTTGTACTCCGGACTCCTAAACAGTTCTGATATCAGCCAGAGCCTGGGTGGCCAGAATGGGGGAGGAAAGGGAGAGGTAATCGTGCCAGACCGCATCTGCTAATACAGCCGGTGCATCGGGATAGAGAGAGAGAGAGAGAGAGAGAGAGAGGGAAGAAGGAAGGAAGAAAGATATATAGACATATAAAAACGTAGCATGGAACACTATAGATATTCTATTGATTTGTTCATTGGGACAATAATATGTCAATTAAGAACGCGATGAAAATAAAGAATAAAAAATAGAGCGAAGCCATCGCCAATTGGCTGCTCGGCTATTCACCCCGTGATCCCGTGAAAAGTTGTTCACACTTTACAACTTACAGAAATATACGGCTAAAGATTCCGATTCTCGTATCAAATTTAGAAGGTCCTCGCCTTCCAAAGCCTCGATTACCTCACCCGATGGATCCTTTTGCGTCATCAACCACTGTAAAATTTGCTCCTCTTCATACAGATCGCCTGTGAAAACAATATATTTTTTATTTTCTTATTTTTCCATTTTTATATCTCTTTTTAATGAATAAGAAACTTGAGTAGTTCGTCTTGTACCTGCATATATAACTGGTTCCTTTGATCCCATCTTAAAGAACAGTATAGCTGGTAATGCGAAAACACCATACTGTTTGGCTAGTTGTTTGTCGTCGATTTTGACGAATTTAATACCGGCTCCGTCAGCTTCATCGTCGATATGTTCGATCTCCGCCAATACTCGGCCGCAATGTTTGCAGTCGTTGCTGTCTAAAACAGACGCGCGACGTATTAAAAAAGGATAAACGTAAGAAAATGTTAATCGCGCGTTCAACATTATATTAACACAAACTGACACTCACAGAAAAATACGGCTAGATAGTCGGTTGTTTGTCGAACTTTTTGAAACATCTTCTTGTTGATACGTTCTATATGATCGGTGAGTTCCATATTTTCCGGATTGGTCAACCAATCGAGGATCTCCTCCTCGTCATCGATGTCACCGTCGTAGTTGATGCTCTTACCCTTGCGGAAGTAAGTGATGCCGGGTGGATTTCGGAAGCCGTATTTTTTCGCCATCAGCCGATCCTTCATCCTGACGATCTTTATTCCGTACTCCGCTGCCTCGTCGTCAATCAGTTCGATATGTCTAAGTACTCTGGGACTCTCTGGATCCTCCTCTTTATCTAAATTTTTTTATTACATAAACATATCGTAATATATAAAATTTCGAGCAATTGTAATATTTCATATTTTGATTATACATAAGTTCTTTTGTTTGTAACATTTTTTACAACAGCTAAATTTATTTTTAGTAACGCAATGCGTGTTAATCGTATTGTATTAAAAAAAATAAAGGCAAAAAAGAAAAGAGGTACAATTATTTTTGTGCAAAATATGTTGATCGAAACTTGCTCCTTACAGAATATAACAGCGAGAAATTCTTTTGTCTCGATGTATTTGGTGAGAGTCTCACGGTCAATCTCTTCTATGCTCTCATCGGTCTTCTGTTTCACCATCCATTCAAGTACTTCATTCTCATCGAGAAGATTACCTAAATATTGCACATTGGCTCAATTGATTATTTGTCAGTTATTTGTTAGTTAAAGTTGAGAATTAGTGTTGAAACAAAGAAACTTCCGTCCAGAAGCTCATAATATTTTATAAGGATTCTCTGCAATTGATCTTATAATATCTTAAAATATTTCTCTGAAATTTGAAAAAAATCTCTAAAATTTTAAATGTTTTTTTAAATTATCAAGGAGAATGTGTATAATCAAGCTTTTTACGATTTTTTTCAAACTTGCAATTTTTATATGTTATATAGATATGTACAAAGTATTTTAAATATAAAATGTAATCAAAATTTTAGGATAATAGCATGAGTTTAGCAGAAATATAATGAACAAAGTTTGTACAAAAACTTTATCTTATCTGATTTTATTTTCGAGTTATAAGCGTTTTCGCGTTTCAATATTTCTTATTACAAACTGAACTGAATATGATTGATCTCAACTGTTTATTATGAACGCTTTATTCCTCATGTATTTATTATTCTTATGATATTTTATGAATTATTTCAGTTTTTTATTCTCTGAATACGAATAGGATATATCAAAAATGTTTGATACGATTCTAGGATACTTTGTATCTGAAATGATAATGGCAAATTTTTGTACAACACAAATGCAGATATAACAGATATTTTTGAAGACAGATTTTTGTGAAATGTTAGCTCAGTACATATTGAAAAATATCTAAGTCTATCATTACATTAATTTATTTTATTAAAAAATAACATATCGATACAGCGATAATTTTATTAAAATTGACACTGTTCTGGAATGGCTCTTCATATATTTTTAACAATTTTCTATAAAATTGTTTTATATATTGTAAAATATGTAGACTTTTTTGCAATTAACTTACCCTCTTAATACAACGATTGCCGTATAAAATTAGGAAATTTCACCTACACTTAATCTGTTAAAGACTACTATTTACGAATGCTATTTAGATGCAAATCTTTACTCAGAAAAGGTTTGGAAAAATGGTGGACGCTGAAACAAATATTTAAACTTGTTTAAAGATTATATAAAAAAACAAATGAGAAGTAAATTTATTTTGAGATAATAGCTTACAGATTAATTAGAACAAGTGTTTAAGAATAAAAGTAAAAGTAGTCCTTCTTTGAAATATTAACATATTTTGTTGTATACAGAATAAATACTCTGTATGTGTATTTTTCGCGATTTTTATAAATTGTGTCATAGTTAATGTAATTAGCCTTGAATTCTACGTGGATCTTTAAATATGAGAATTCACATAAGATTCCACAATTTAGTTCATCTTTGGATATTCTATTCGAGATTTCTAACGGAACTTTGATTGCACCAGGGACTGCATGTAAGCGTACAATATAATAATGGAGTCTGCACATTATTAATGATGGTGGGCGAAGCAAATACGAAGGATATTAGGAAATGTATTTATTGTTATCGTATAATATCGACTTTTATTATCGTACATACTGCTCTTATGCGTATAACGAGGACTTATTGGCTCGCACGCAACGTTCACGTGCGATAAATTCACGACGCCTGATAATCATGATCACAGATACAGTGTGACGAAAATTAATTTTGCGTTGATCGCAAAACCCTCATCCGTTTGTGACGCGAATTTTTCTAGAGTATCTAAAATGATCAATTTTACGCTCCGACGTCGGAATACAATATTATTACGTGTATCTCACCTGCAATTTGACAGTTCCGAGGATAGTGATGTGCTTATATCTTGCGCAGATTATCGGAGTGATATAACGGTGAATACAAGTAACGAGGTATTTCAAAATGTATAATAAATAAATAAATAAATAAATAAACACCTCTCTATATCGTGATTTCTTCGCACGATCTAATCGCGCATCGTCGAAAGCTATTCTTCATTTACATTTTGTGTCGGTTTTATGCAGTTACGTATCGGTTTAAGCTAAATAAGCGATTAATGATAGTGGAAACAAGAGAAATTCATGTGAGTCTCGATGTAAAGAATCGTAAAATATTGTAAAGAAAGGCCAAGATATATTTAAGTCGGGACTAAAAAGTAGCGCTTCAAGTAAGAAATAATACATACAATTATATATTCGCAATTTGTAAGAGGCTTTCATTTGTGATGTATTTTTTTTTATCGTTCTTATAAATCTTCAAATTTTAAGGATGAAATCGCGATATTGATGATAATGACAGTTTTTATTTCAATAACTATTGCAATGCTGAATATTTTAAAATTCTAGCAATTTCAATAGATATCAAATTTGTAATAATTAGGCGAGTTTGATTTCTTTTTCGAATAAGAATAAAAGATCGATATGAGAACACTATGAGAATTCCGTATTATTAAGAAATCTCGTTATTAATAAATTATAGACAAGCCATTCGTTCACATAATTTCGCGTTAACTCTGAGCCTCCGCACTTTCACATTCTTGAGATCTTCTTGTCTTATAAAAATAAGGAGAAGAAAGCTATAGCTCGAGGATCAATAGAATTTGTTGGAACATAGAAAGTCTATAGAAATCGATAAAAATGAGGTCTCAGAGTGAGATAGGTTTAGTTACAAACAATTAATCTCATGTTAAATTAATCGCTAGAGCGTGTACCGTAAAATCTAGGTAGAACACTATGATGATCTCGGCAACAGCGAGTTATGCACCTTTCTTTCTCTCTTTCTCCGTCTATACTATAAAGTCCTACCCCTTATTGTACGAATATTACTGATGAAATGCAACACAGAAGGTGGTATCGCTCTTCGTGACGTTAACGGGTTAACGAGTAAAACAAAACCGATAAATAATATTCAACGTTAGACGATGATCAGATATTAAGGATCAAAAAACTCTATATAAGAAATGCATATGTTGCGAGAATAATTCTGTCTATTGCGTAATTATCGACAGACACCGGATTGACGTATTATCGAACGTTGTTCTTCTCGAATATCTTTAATGTCGTGTATAATATGTATACATACCAAATATATTATAAATTTTTTTTATATAATATACTTTTGTCAATCATAGAATATTTCTGAGATATTGGGATTGTTACGTATTTTTACAGAAACATTAAAATCTCGCAGATGTTTATTTACCTTCCTGCGCGTAACACACGGATGAACACATCGAGAAGATGACGATATCATTGATTATAGCAATGCAGATGACATTGTATTATGATAACGCTGATACGATAATAACGAGAATGTTAATGAATTCACGGACGAACATGATGATGAACGATAATTTGAATTGACGACGATGATAGGCGATGATAGACGATGTTAAATGGCAACGAGGCATTTTGTTTCTTTAAGAAACGTAAAATCGTTATTCGCTCAATGGCGATATTTGATTTATCCTGTCCAAATTTGTTCCTCGTGGCTTCTTCCGTCATCACGCGCACTTTCTCATCGCATTTTTTTCTTCATTCGATCACTGGTTTGATCATAATTGTCCGGCGAGTAGTACTTTTTCTTCATTCACAGCTCGATCTCGCGCATCCGGACGTCGATGTGCGTGTCGGTCGTTTAGACCTTCATGAGGTAAGGAATTCCAGCTACAACTGTAACAGCCCACAACCCCGACCCAACTCTCAGTGAGAGGACAGACAAATCATTCTCACGTATGCTTTTCATCGCGCCTTTATATAAATACAATCTAGTCATCGATCTTTCTTCAACGACGATGTTCGTTCGAGGGGACACGCGTAATTTAAAGCAGATGTTTCGGATCGATCAAAATTTGTGAGAAATTACACTTGCGTAGAAGGAATTTACAAACGCGTTCAGTTTGGCGAGTTGTGTTCCCTCGAGCGATCATATCATCGAGGCGAAGATTATTTCACAAGATTCAACGACGCGCAAATATTTACAAAATCGTCAATTAAGGGGAGCGATTTTTCTTAAGTAGCCTCAGCCCCGTCGCCGAAGCGATGTGAGTCTCATTACACGATAATAAATTACATTTTCCGATTGATCGGCCATGCCATTGATTATTCGATAGGTGGTTCGATAAGTTTAACGAATCATTCGGCGCGTTCAACGAATCGGTGTTCGTTAGTCCGACGATTCGAGGACTCGAAGGATCCAGCCGCCGGTGCCAGCCGCGTAGACGTCACGTGTCTTCGATCATCTTGCTCATCCGGAAGTTGCGCGTCGTTGACGCTCTTCAT